CCGGACTGGAGTGAGGGGGTTGGCAGAAAAGGCGCTCCTGGCCGGAGAGGGTGAGAACCACCTTCCCTCTTGGGAGACTTTCTGAGCAGCCTGCAGCCTCTGCCTTCCCTGGACATGCATCCCAGCTGTGTCTCTTCATCATCGAAACCTTCACCTCCTTGCAGAGGTGATTGTGAGGATGCAGTTTAGCCTCAACACCTCGCTAGATCTCCAAAGCCTGGTCTAGCTCTCTGGGCCCTATTCCACACCATACCCTACCTCTATGTGCTCCCCCTGGCCCCCCCCCCCCCATCCCTCAGGCTTCAGTTTAAGTGGCCCTGTCTCAGGGAGCTACCCCGACTCCCTGAGAAGATCCCTCTAGTATTCTTTATGTTGCTAATTTATGTTCCTGGTGACACGAATGAATTATGTATTGGCTATTTATTGCCAGGTCCCTCCACCAGGATATAAACTCAGTGAGGGCAGAGGTTTTGATTCTATTAGACTTGATCTTAGCCAGAGGGATGGGGGGGTCCATGGGGAGCACATCCCAGGGATTACAGCAGCCAGCAGGAAGTACAACAGCAGGTAACAGCTCAGAGAGAGAGAGAAAGAGAGAGAGAGAGAGAGAGGAGAGAGGGAGAGAGACAGGCTCCCTCAACAGAGTCTTTATGGTACAATCCAGTCCCAGTCAGAGCCAGCCCTGATCATAGGCAAGAGCTGTGTGAGTGGTGTGCTCAAGGAGGTCCTGGAACATGAACTCAGAAACCTTTTGGGCCCAGCTATGCTACTGCTGTGTTATTACTTGGCTCCTTGCTTGGGGAACTTCTAGAAAAGCTGTTTGGGTTTTCTAGGACAGGAAAACTCACCCTTGGTTGCCGTGGGAATCACCTGGGGCTGCCAGGGTACCCACACCGAGGTTCTGAGTTAATTGGTCTGGGGTGAAGCTTTGGCAACAGAGTTTTTAAAGGCTCTCTAGGTGGTTCCAGTATCCACAGTGTTGAGAATTAACTTGCCAGGAGCAGCAGCGTGGCCATGCGTGCTTTTCTGTAGGTGATCATGATGCATAGGCCTGATGAAGTTGTGGTGCTGCGGATGAAAGCTCCTGTGTGCCACAGAGCAGGAAACACTTAAGGCTGCTTATTGAGTGACTAAATAGATTTAGAAATTCGTTGACCCCTAAAGAGTTCACGGGTGGATTTTAAGGACTTTGAGAAGTACTTATGTGTTCTTTTTTTGGAGAGATTTTTGGTATACATTACAAATGTATAGCAAATGTCAGAAAGACAGAGATGGAGAGAGAGAAATCATCCCCCAGGGGGGATGGCCATGCCACAAGCCTTTCTCCTCCATTCTCCTCTCAAGATTTTGGGTACACATGCACTTGAGTTTCAAGCCGCTGGGTCCAGAACTCTAACTGCAGTCAACCGTGTGGGAGGCCAGCGCCTTAACCACTATGCCACCTGCTGGTCCCATGTGCATACCTTTTTTTAAAACCACAAAACTCTTGGGACCAGCAGATGACATAATGGCTATGTTACTGGACTCCCATATAGTCAACCGCAGTTCGAGTCCCAGACCCGGTGACTTAAACTCATGCTGGGCGCATGTGCGTGTGTGCCCAAGATCCCAAGAGGAGAATGGAGGAGAAGGGATTGTGGCGTGGCAGTCCCCCTGGGGGGTGATTTCTCGCTTTCTATCTCTCTGTCTTTGTGGCGAGCACATGTGCCCTATAGCATAAACCTCTCCAAAAAAGCAAAATCGCAAAACTCTCCTGCCCTCAGCATCACTCCCTGGGATTCTCACTCTTACCCCTGAGATTCTCACTCATATTCCAGAGTCTCCCCTGCCATCCTCAAATGGATGCCTTTCTTTCTTTGCTGGAGACCTCCTTGCTGGGCCTCATCTGAGTGAGGACCCTCATGTGTCCACTTTAGAGATTCCTTAAGTACCTGCTATGTGCTCACTGGTGGCATGGTAAGTGCTCTGCTAAACAGCCAGAGTCATGTGCATGCCAGAGCCAGTATGTGGCCGGCTCTGGAATTCAAGGCCCAACTCCCAGCCTGGGCCTTCGTCCCTGTTCTGGAGCTTGAGTGGTAGCGTGACCACCCATTCAGGGCAGGCTGTGTGCCAGGCATTGTGCTGAACGCTTGCATGCACTATCTCATTTAATCCCCTCATTTAATCCTCGTGATAGCTTTATGTGGTAGCCATTACTGGCCTCTCATTTCACAGGATGAGCAAGGATCAGGAAGGTTTGGCAACTTGCCTAAAGTCACACAGCTCATAACCCAGCCCTGTCTGCCTCTAATCCATGCTCCTAATTACCTGACTAGACTGCAAGACAGGGCTTGGTTTGGATATTGTGAGAGCATTTCTGTGCGCCAAGAGCAGTGAGTTCCTCCCTACTCAGTGGTTCCTCCCCCTCTCCTACTGGGCATTGGTGCAAGAACAGATGCACTCTAGATATACCTGGGTCTCTCAGGATATGACCTGGGACCCTACACCTTTTTAAAAGAGAACCAGCTCGGCATGGCCAAGAGGAGTAATTTGCTCAGGAAAAGAGGAAATTATTCCTGTAGGTGGCTATGCAATTGCTTTTTTTTTTTTTTTTTTAAAGATTTTTTCCCCAGGGCTCATGCACTTGCCAGAGAGATAAAAGGCCCGTG